TCTTAATATTATGAAAGAATATTTTTTTAAAAAAAAATTATTACCGCGTGTACAGGAGCTGCCATCATCGATACCGCTGCTTTCAGCTACTCTGAGTTCAGTTTGTCTTTCGTAATAATCAGCAATCGTCATTTCCCCTGAATATACAGCCCGCTGCATATTGGTAACACTTTGTTCCCTAAAATTTCCTTGATTGTCCATCCCATATTGAGCTCTTAACAATTCAAATTCACGTTGTTCGCGTAATTTTCTGAGCTCCTTTTCAAGTCTTTCCATATCTTTTGCTAACATTCTATCAGTAGATAAATCTGGAGTTATAGGGGATGGAGTGCACTTTTTACTGAAATGTTCTTCAATATGTGCAGTCAATTCATCATTGCTTTTAAACGAAGTACTAAAGCAAACTGGACATGCAGGTGTATCACTACCAATAGTCGCTTGAGCCGTTTGGGAAGCTGCACCATTTGCAGGACTGCATAAAACATATAATATAATTAATAATAATTCAAATATGATACATAATTTAATGTATTTATAATGAATATAATATAAATTTTACCTTAAAATATCTTTATGCTCTATATTAACGTGTAATTCAAGATCAGAAGAATTTGGAAAAGACGTGATGCATAAAGGGCAGTTAAAGACACCATCACGAGATGGTGGAGATTCAGGTGGAAAGGACGGCGAAGTAAGATCAAAATGTTGTCTGTTGATATGCTCTTCTAGCCTTGATGGATTATCAGAACTGTAGGGACACATAGGACATTCTTGAACTGGAAGTTTTGGTGAAGCATGAGAACGCAGTTGTAAATTTAGGCCTGAACGCAGTGGAGATCCATGTCCAGCTGCACCTTCTATAACTGAAAAATTATGTTGATTATTCTACTTCATAGAAATTTTAATTCATAATCATTGATGTTTTTTCATCAAATTCTTCTAATACCATTATTAACATTTCCAATGTTATTGTTGTTGTTATTATTATTCATATTAGAACCAGGAATTTGTGGCTCTGATTTTAATATTTCTTGCTGCTGCTTAGCACGAGGACTAAACGAACTACTCCAACCATTTTGAAGAAGTGGAGGACTTGGAGACATGGTTGGAGAAGGACATGGACCACGACATTCGTCATGTCTTCTATCATCCACTAATGAATCATCATCAATAAATGCCATCATATCACTCTCTGGAGTACTATAAAACAATTGTTATCTTACATTAATATTTAAAACATATATATATATGTAAACATAAATAAATAAATAAATAAAAATATTAAATACTTTTCACTATCAATGTGCATCAATTCATATTCTATTTTCTTTTTATAATCTTTTATCATGTTTTATATAATTAATTCGAATCTATAGAAATTTACATAATAATTATACACTATATAATAATTGCTATAATAATAATTGCTAGAAAAACAAAATTATAAATATCAAAATAAACATAAGTGTCCAAATGCATATAAATGCAAATATCAGAAATGAATATAGTTGCGACTTATTGCATTTTATTTTTTATCTATTCAATGAATTTTTTGTATATTCAAAAAATCTTTCAAGAAGTACTCTGCATGTAAATAATTTCGTTACAAGAATCACAAACTTCGTATATTAGCGACATCTAAGGCCCATCTTTACCGCCATTTTTCTTGCAATCGGACTAATTTAAACAGTTTACGACGTATCGAAAGAAAATTCGTAAAAGATAATAAAAAAAAATATATAAAATATAATTGCTATAAATATACCTAGGTGTTAAATAATCGAGATGAGCACTATTAACATGTGTCAACATCTCTGTTGGTGAAATTTCGCCTAAATCGCAAAAGGGGCAATTTGCGGCTCCTTGAAGATGATAGAAAACCATATGAGATCTCATCTCTTCATCGTTGAAACCTTCTAGACCGCAAATTTCGCACGTGTAATTCATTTCCGGAGGTTTACTGGCCGCCATTTTTAACACATTCAATCAACACTTATTGACCTATGGTAAAAATAAAAATAAAAATTATTATTAATTAAATTCTATCAAATCATTTGTGCAAGATTATATTATATTAAATATTCAATGTATTCCGTTTACGAGTGTTAACATACAGTAATTTGGATATTAAATAAATGCATCGAATTACAAATCAATTTTTAAACAAATGCAAGTAACATTATTATATTAATCTAAAAGAAGATTACATTTCCATTTAAAAATTACTCTATATTTTCTCTTCGACGAAACAAATAACAGAAATATCGGTTTAAGCGAAATAAATTGCGACAGTGCATCAAAACTGCATCGTCGTGTATTTTCCTCGGAGAATCGATAATTGAATTCAGGGTCGCGTACAAGTGTCCGCGATTGTATCGTGGTTACCCGTTAGCTTTCTCGCGAATTGCATATCGCAAACGCGTGATTGTCGACCGTACCATACAAAAACACCGTAACACGAGTAAAATATATTACGACTCGTTTCCGTTGCATTGTGTTGGCTGATTTATGATCAAAAAACCCACATAACTCATCCGTGATACGACGATTTCCTCGAATGGAAGACATCCCAATACGATGGGATTCGTTTGTTGAATCGTGATTTCCTCATGTAGGAGGAAATGCAAACGCGACCTCTCACCTCCGCTTCCCTTTATCACCTGTATCACCTCTCGCTACTGTGGCCGCGTGTGGCCAATCAATGCATTTCCATAGCCGGCGAGAATTTCATACTTGTATTCATCGAACGGAAATAAAAATTTCGATCGTAGAATCAACGACGACGATGGCGATGTCAACGATCACGACGGCGAACGCAACGACGAACGACGAAGAATCAAAAGTCGAAGAAAGGCGCACTTTTCATGTCATTTTTTTCATAACGAGAAGACTTTCGCGTTATCTTTTCGTTCGCTCACTCTCGATAAAACTAGGCCAAATAATGAATTAGTAGAAGAAAGGAGTACACGTTTGATTGCTGGGTTGGTGGGTTGACCCATTTTAAATTCGCTGTATCCTTACACTCGCGCTTTCAACTTTTCCGTAACATCCAATACATCCGTGACACTCACCAAATTAATAAAACTTAGTTTACACAGTTCGCTTTTTTTTTTTCTTTTTTTTTCTTCCAACACTTTTTCACGACGTAACGCACACAGCAAGGCGTCCGTGCAGGCCAGAGTGCCTAACACGGCGCCTCGTTTGCCTCCATATGACAGCGCCAATACACCCCGACACTTTCACGGAAAGAGAGTTTCTCGTTTCGCCACCCCACCGTGTGTCAATCCTCCACCACTGGTCTCTCTCGAGGGTTGCGATTCATAGGCAGACCTTGCCGAAGGCGCCACCCTCGCCATGTTGTGCGCGGTCGGTAAAGACTTTCGAGAAATCTCTTTTATTTTTTTCTCTCGTTAATTTTTCACGCTCAATCCGCTTCGTTTCCAATCCTTCGATCGAAAAAATTAATACTTTACGCGATTATTTTTACGATTAATTCGTTCAATCTCGATAGAATGTTTCGTTCGATATATCATCGTTTCGTTTCACGGTGAAGTTTGCTTAGATCTCGATGGTGAAACGATGGAGAATTTCATTGCGCATGTGCAGCGAGGCGAATTTTCACGAGAAAAAAACAGTGCATATATCAAGTTACAACTACAATGGGCTCAATAGAGGGCACCTTCAGATCGTAAACTCAAAGATATTCGAATCTTATTTATGATACCGAATGGAATCGTTTCCGGATGTTTCGAACCGCTATACTTTGCAAATAACGTTACCGAAGATTTATGCGGAGAATAACGGTTCAAATTAAATAAGAGAGGCCATTTTAGAAAATCTTATTCTATCTAATTATCGTAAAAATCTTATTATTTCCTTGACCTTTCAGAGACAATTTCCTTACGCATGAGTTCGAAGAAATTCTCGATCATCGAATTTTTCGAAACGCGTTTATTACGCGTCAATTCAATTTCTCTCTCTCTTGTATACCTATTGTCCTTCCGCGATGAAGTTTTCCATAATGACAAGCCGGCAAACTAGGGAGACGGTCGACGCTGTGCATTATCCAAATCGAAAAGAATAACGATTAACCCGACATCAATGACAAATTCGTTCCGTGCATAAGCACAGGAATACGTATATATAAACTTTGACAAGATAGACAGATAAGATAGACATAACTTTTTTCCAACCAATTTTAAAAGTTTCATGCGAAACAGAGAGAGAGAGAGAGAGAGGGATAAGTAGATAAGATAAATAGATAAATAAGATAACCAGATGAAATAAACAGATGAGATGAACATATTGGATAGACAGATAACTTTCTTCCAATTTCGAAAGTTTCGAAACAGAGAGACAGATAAATAGATAAGATAGACAGATAAGATAAATATAAGTTAATATAATAGTTATGGTTAATCGATCGATAATCGTTTTATATACGTGGCAACGGGAAAGGAAGAATTTCAAGGAAGAAAATCGAAAACTCTTACTTTATTACGCAGGTGGAATATATGGGCCTGCTTGTAGCACAATGTGATCGAAAGAAGGGGAGAGGGGAGGGAGTAGACATTGCGAATTCCGATCATGATTAAGACATTCCTCTGGCGCTGTCGCATAACGCGCGACAAATTTACGCGAGAAACTCGATTTCTCACGATCAGCGTACGCGTACCAAGAGATATTTGTCGAGTCCTCGTTGGTCCTCGATTTCTGCCTTCGTCTTCTCGACGCTTAGTTCATTGACATGCAGCCGACGATTGACGGAGGATACAATGTTCACAGAACTATTTGGTCTTTCCCCTTGGTCGCGCGCGCTCGCCCTGTCCCTCCTTTTCCTTTCGCTCGTTCGAAGGGTGCGTGAGTCAAATACTTGAAACGTGCATGCACAGAAAGTAAATCGCCGGCAAATTTATTTCACCAACCTCGGGACACCTCGACGAGTTTTCACGACGGCCAATTCGAACGGAGGAGTATCATCACGCAACAAATTTGAAAAATTCGTCTTCGTTATATCGTATCTTATACGTAATTAGAAAATATCTCCGAGACAGAGTCCTATCGCTATGGAAAATTTAAAATTTATATGGTCTCGTCAATAGATGCACGAGATACCGTCCAATTAAACGAGTGCTCGCCACTTGGATAATTAATAACCATTGTGACTAATAACCATTGAGCGAGTTAAGTAGAGCCGAGCGAAGTCCGAGCAAAAACGTGTTTCTGGCACGATCTTTCATCGATGGAAAACGATGGAACGTCGAAGGTACGCTCTTGTGAAACGTTTGACTGACTGAGAGGCACTGAGAAAAAAAATAATAACCAGAGCCATAGGATACGTATACATCATCTGCAATTATCGAACAGAATTTAATTGTTACCGTATTATTAATCGCATCGTTGCCCCATTACTTCCGCTTCGTAACAACGCTTAAATTGCCTATTATGTATTTATCCGAGTGAAAAGAGACACTCTCTGGTCACCGTACTCGCGAAGGGGAAATTTTAAAAGGCGTTTTCTACCCACGAATGTCTTTGTTAGCGGTTCAAAAGTGAGCCACGAGCGGACCTCGTACAAGAGCTCTATATACGAAGATAATGCCATCAACCGTTCATTTTGCAAATTAGTCGTTGAGAGCGTAGCAGCGTTACATTAATAATGGTCTTCATAGCGTACAAAGTGACGGTGGTACGGCATAAACCGGTATACATTTGCAAGAACTTCGCCAGGTATTTATCGATGTTCAACTGGAAACTGGTTTTCATCCACGGGTTTTCTTTTTTTTTCTTTTTTTTTCCTTTCTATTTTTTTTTTTTTTTCTTCTTCTACCAATCTGTGTACGGATTACGAATTTCCCTCGACTCGAGCTTTCGCGTTTCCTTTCAAAACCTTCTCTTCCACCGACGACTTCGACCGCGAATTGCAATTATACGAGGCATGACTCGTGCACCATGAATCGTATGATTATCGACGATAAAATTGTTATCTCAAATAACGGTCTGATGGTTTGGGTGTGCGCATTTACGAGAATGAAATAACAAGCCTATTCTATAAAGGAGAAACCAGCGGACGGAAGAAAGTTGATAAAGATGCGAAAGAAGAGAGAGAGAGAGAGAGAGAGAAAGAGAGAGAGAACAGCTCTCGAGGAGGAACAATCCATCCACAGCCTACGTGCGGATTCAAACGGATTTATCGGCGGAATAAATTAATAAATTACCCGAGCATCGAGACGACGATTGACTTCACGAGGGGTTCGTAACGCGACCCATCCCGCATCGATGATTCCGAGTCGTAATTTATAAATAAAAATACATCTCGATATAAAGAAACGAAACATAAAAAACGCAACATTTCAATTTTCAATTTCCACGAGGATCACCACGGGATCGCGTTTCACGATCTTGATTAAATTTTATTTCCCCCCCTGCTTGAACGAAACGACCCGAAATTATTCACTCCTCCGAATGAAGTTTAAATCTCATTTTTTTGTATCGAGATATTGGAAACGAGATATCGCAATTCATTACTCACGAGTAGTAAGTAAATATTCCGATGAATAAAACTGGCTGCAGCGCCGAATCATTGTCCGTAGCAAGGATCAATAATAGAATGAACGATATCCCGTATCTTGAACGATTATGCTCGCTCGTAATATTCGTCTCAATCGCTATCAAAGGAAGTACAAGCACGGGTTATCGGTTTATCCGGTGCAGGAATGCAGCTTTCTAACCGACGGGCCCGGTTCAGCTTTCAGACCGTGCGACTTCCCTCGAATTTATGACTTTCGATGGGATCTCGTTTTTCGGGGTACATATATATATAGTCAGCGTTTGGCTAATCTGTTTGGGGAGAGATAACCGAGAATTTGAGCAACTGCTATCGATTGCTAACAATGTACGATTATGCTCCGTGCACGTCATCCTATGCGGGATTCCTCCTCGTGTGGATGCAAAGGGAGGGAGGGAGGGAAAAAAGTACGTTACGCACATAGGAAAGATCGTGTGGGTACTGTTCAAAGATGTCACAATAGCAGTTGCACTGCGTGACAACGCGCCACGCGTCTTTTCCCTCCTCCTACGCGCAATCTCTCCGTTCCTATCTCTCTCTCTCCCTCTAAAGGCTCCTCTTTCCCTCTTCCTCCTCCTTTCCTCTTCCTTCCTCCCGTTTCTCTGGCGGGCTCTCATCTCTTTCTTCCTCTCACCCACTCGGTAAAAAGCTTGGCGGAGAGACTCGAGGCTGCAAATGCCACGAAAAGCTCAGTCGCTCGCGGACTGCGCTCCGGTGCACCTCGTTCCTCGCGCGGGTCCGCATCCCGCTCCGATATGCCCTTGTCTGTTACGATCGTTCGCGACGTTTCCTATATTTCGCGCCCCCGTTTCCGTTTATCATTGAGGATGCGTGGATGGGGCGGCCAGTGATGGAGATTGGGCAGCGATTATCTGGAAATCTTCGCCGCTCGGCCATGCTCGCGATCGTTTCGTTCACGATGTTGGCGGTCATCGCTGTCGCCAATCCTTTCCTCGACGCTGCGCAAGGTAATTCATTTATTTGTCGCTTTATGTCACTCCGCCAATTTTACGACTGTCGCGCGATCAAGAAACTCGACGCTCGAGCTCGCGAAAAAGATCAAAGGGAAGAGGAGAAGGAGGAGGAGGAGGAGAAGAAGAAGGTTTTTTTAGAGGTCGATAGCTCACCTCGACTTTGCGTTATTGCGGCGGCGAATAGATAAATCGCCATTATTTTTTTTTTTTTTTTGAAAAGCGGATACCAACGACCGGTTGTTATTTCGTCGCCACGTTGAAATAATACGAGGTCGACGAACAATTTTACCGTATATTTACGAAGAAGACTCGTAATCTTCGCGAGTCTTTTTGTGTCATCGCGCCAGAGAGAAGATATCGACGACAACTTCTGGCCACATGTGCGTTCCTTCCTTGTCCTCTCTCTCTCCTTCTCTTTCTCTCTCTCTCTCTCTCTTCTTTCCTTCTATTAATTCTCATCGCTTTTGTCAAGCGATTTAATATTTTTTTTCCTTTTTTCTTTTCGAACGCCTCTTCCGCCGTTCGATTCGCGCGGTGATTTCTTAATGCTTTCCCTTCTTGTCGATCCTCTTATCGTCAACACACTCGAGCCGAGGTTTTCTTTATCGAGTTTCCGCGCCCAAGTGTGCTCGAGCGTCGATAGAAACTTCGCTTCTCACGGGATCTTCTCAATGGGACGAAAAAAAAGTCCTCGCGAGTCATCCTCCGTCCTCATTTTTTCCTTCCTTTTCGAAACGAAACTTTCTCGATAATTTTATTAAATTAATATCGTTGAAAACGCGGCTACGTGCAACGAAAGATTACTTACAAGGAATTAAATAATAAGAATAATAACAACAATAATAAAATAATGTTCGTTCCGCATTTCGTCATTCGGTCCTCTGATCTTTAATCTCTCCCTCCCTCTCCTTCTCTCTCTCTCTCTCTCTCCCTTCCTCCCTCTCTCTTCTCGTTCTATCTCGAAATTTACTCGGTGCACGTGCGTGCGAACGAGGTGTCGCTAACGGTCCTTCGCCTCTGCCTCTCTTCAACACGGTTCGAACGCGTCCACGGATCTTGCAGAAAAAGATGAAAAAAAGCTGCACGGTATACAAGCGGGGAACTGGCATTGGCAACCGTGTATTCACACGTAACATTCTTTATTACAACAAGAATTTGATAACGATGTCGAGATTTTCTTCAGAAACGCGTCTCTCTCTCTTTCTCTTCGTCTCACTTCTCTCTGCTGTGATTTTTATTCATCGCGACGATATTCACCATTAACACACAACGATGATCCCGTGATCCAATTGATGTCTCGTAAATTCCTGCGAATTTCCTCCTCTCGAGACGAAACTCGAATCCCTTTTGCACGTTTATCAATGTATACAGCAGCGAGTAGGGAAACGAGGTAATAGTGTATCGTAAAACTAGCTTCTATATACTTCGTGCCATGCGCGGCAACAACAAGCATCTCTCTATAGGTTTCTATATCGGTTTTATCGATGATCAAAAACGATCGTTTCGCAGGAACGTGGCGTTTGTTTCGCGTGAAGTATCGTCGATGCGATTCGAAGATTTAAGCTTGTATCTATCGATACAAGGTTTATACTATAAGGCACAAATTCAGGAGTTTAAGCTACATCAGGAATTAAGTTCAAGATTCATTCGCGCGTACCTGTTGCTCGTAGTCGCGATGAAACGGTCGGTTAACGTGTCGTCCGATCGAGGCATATAATTTTATGCTTTATGGATGCGCCATAGGAGGAAGGATCCGTGAAATAATATATCTGACTTGGCGAGAGAGACGTTGAGAGACGAAGAAAGACGAAGGAGGGGAGGGGGAAAAAAGAATAAGAGGGAGAAGGAGGAGGAGGGGGGGGGGGAGACACGTCGTTACGTGGCCACCGGCTTTTTAAACCGTGTTAATACGCCAGATCATAGTAATTTTAACGCACGCCCTATACGTAAATCCTTTCTATGCCGAGCGTGCAATTTAGCCTGTCTTTCAACTTGGAAATTGGAACGCGACGTTGCGCAAGCGACGATTTATAGCAACACTTTGAACGTATATCGATCGAGGGATTGGTCTCTTTGATTAATTAATGGCATCATCTTCGTCGATCGCTCGTCCCGTACGGATGGCCTGAGTTTATTAATCGAAAGTCTTCTTCCCGAGTTAACCCTACTTATGGAACAAGCAGCGGCCAACGTTCGTTCGTTGTACAATTCGTTCTTCAAATCTCGTTCCGTCTGAACGAATAACCG